GCCTCCAGCCCTGGGCAACAGCAGCACAAGGACGTGGAGCTGCAGCAGAGAGTCCAGAGGAGGCTGCAGAGATGCTGCCAGGGCTGGAGCCCCTCTGCTCTGGAGCCAGGCTGGGAGAGCTGGGGGTGCTCAGCTGGGGAAGAGAAGGATCCAGGGAGACCTTGGAGCCCCTTCCAGAGCCTAAAGGGGCTCCAGGAGAGCTGGAGAGGGACTGGGGACAAGGCCTGGAGGGATAGGACACAGGGAATGGCTTCCACTGCCAGAGGGCAGGGAGAGATGGGACATTGGGAAGGAATTCTTCCCTGTGAGGGTGGGGAGGCCCTGGCCCAGGTTGCCCAGAGAAGCTGTGGCTGCCCCTGGATCCCTGGGAGTGTCCAAGGCCAGCCTGGACGGGGTTTGGAGCAACCTGGGCTGGTGGGAGGTGTCCCTGCCCATGGCAGGGGTGGGACAGGATGAGCCTTACCCAGGTCACTTTGGATTCCATGATCCAGCTCAGCTCTGCCACATGGGACAGACCACACCTGAGGGCTTCCTTGGCATTGCTCAGGGAAGGCAACAGCACCTCTTCTTTCTATTTACTTTCTTCCCCTTGAGGCACCCTGCAGCTCCAGGGCAGCCCCAGCTGGAGCAGTGGCTTTCATCCCAGCTCCTGGGGGGAGCTGCTCACACCTTTCATAGGAGGCTCTTCAGGGTTTAGTCCTCACAAACTCCCCCATTTAGTCACCTGCCAAGAAAGCTGCCCTAGTGAAGGAACAGCAGAATTGTTCACCAGCCTGTTCAGCACCTGGAATCCTGCAGTTTGCAAGGAATTCCTCTGCCCAGCTGACAGCCAGCTGGCAGTTCAGAGGCCTGAGCCACTGGGGGCTGCCTTCTCCAGATCTCCTCCCAGATTACCATCTGCAGGCTGCAGAAAGGCAGACATCCCTCATCCATTGTCCCTCCATTAGGGGCTGCAATCTGTCCTCTGCCGTGATAAACGAGGAATGTGGGCCCTTATCTGTACAATTAGCTTAAGCAAGACAGCCAGCAGCCTGCCCTCCCTGCTGACCTCTCCCTGTTCCTCTCCCTGCTGGCTGGGCTGCAGCAGCAGCTCAAGGTCCCCGTGCTCCCAAGGGGGGACCAGGGATCCCCGTGCAGCCCCTGTGCTCTGCCCCCACCCGCTGCACCAGCGGCTTCTCCCCCCAGTCTGGTGAGGGCAGAGCTCCCCTGGCAGGCAGCACCCCCAGAAAGCCAGAGGCATCCCCGTGTCTGACCTAGGGGTTCCACCACCTGGTCCACCAGCCCCATCTTCTTGGCTCTGTCGGCGCGGATGTTCCTCCCGGTCAGCATCATGTCGAAGGCAGCGGGCAGTCCCACCTGGAAGGGCAGGAAGGGGATGGCAGAGTGGGAGCAGGCCACGCACAGGGGCTGGGGAGTAAAGCTTTGCTCTCACTCACCATCTTTGGCAGCCTCTGAGTGCCCCCTGCTCCGGGCAGCAGGCCCAGCAGCACCTCAGGAGTGGCCAAGACTGTTTTCTTGTCCTTTGTTGCCACTCTGTAGTGACAGGCGATGGCGACCTTGAAAAAGGGAGAGACAAGGAAAGGTTTCCCTGGGAAAGACCACAGAGGACTGGGTATCCATCACACAGCTCTCTCCTGCACCCTGCCTCAGCCTCCCTCCCGACCCCAATTCCCTAATCCAACTGCCCAAATTCCCTCTGGGCTCACTGATGGCTCCTTCTGGGATACGACAGCAAACAGGTAGGAGATGAGCACGAAACTACCAAACTGAGCCATGCTGGTTTTAAATCTCACCTAGACCATTAAGGGCTTCATCAATTCACTACACTGACAGCATGGTCCCATCTACTGATCAGCCATGATTCCTGGTTTCTGATCAGCCATGATTCCTGGTTCATCCCTGGATAAATCCACGTGTCACCCCAGTGTGTGCACAAAGCTGCAACTGCTTGAGAAATCCATACAAACCAGGGAGAGTCCATTCCAAGGTTATTCTCCTTTAGTAACCACTCTGCTCCAGGAATCACCACAGTCCTTCAATTTACAGAAATCCTAGGTGGAGATTCCCAGGCAAACACTGGATCCAGCTGAAGGGGCAGGCAGGAATGGGGTGTGCAGGCAGGGAGGAGCCTGGCCGGGCCCCCACACTCATCCCTCTCACAACAACCTTGTGGGGAATGGGAGTTGCTGGGATACAGGACTCACTCCCTCTGAACAGCAGCAATTTCCAGCCTGGGCTCTGCCAGCAGCATTGATGCAGATCCAACGCCTGCTGGAAACAGCCGGTTTTCCCCGGGACTCTCATCCCAACACCAGCCTGGCCCACACAGGTTCCTATTTGATCTGCTCTCTCTCCACAGCAGCAGCAGAGCCCCGAGGCACAGCCAAGCCATTCCCTTGCCACAGACTCCTTTGCATGAAGCAACGAGCCCTCCTCGGGCCCCACACCCCTCTCCCAGTGCTACTCCTGCCGGGATCCCTTGGATAGTCCCAGAACTGCACTGCCAGCTCCCACTCCTGCTGGGAGAGCCAGGACTGCCCAGTACCTCCAGGCCTCCTCCCAGGCAGCTGCCACTGATGGCAGCAACGACAGGCTTTGGAGAATGCTCGATTTTTTCCAGCATCTTCTGTCCGTCCTGAGAGAGCTGAGTCACTTCCTGAGCGGTCTTGCAGGCTTCGAGCATGCTGGGGGAGGAGAGAGGGATCAGAACGGGGCAGGAAAATGGGGGGGGCTCAGCCACTTTGTGCCTCTTTTCCCACAATCTCCAGTGCCTGACAGGCAGGGAAGAGCTATTTAGGCCCCAGTTTTGGATCAGACAACACGGGGAGGTTAAGCTCAGCAGGGTAAGGCCCTGCCCACTGACAAGGGCTGTGCCTGTGGCACTGAATGGGATCCCTTTGCCAGGGCTCTGAAAGCCTTTGGGAGGGGAGGAAGGGTCAGAGGAAGCCTTGAAGTGCTTGCCAGGAAGGGGACAGCCCAGGATCACTTTTTAGAGCAGCAGATGGCCAGTGCTCTGATGCCACACTCCATCAATTAGAGACTCCCCCGTGCCAATTATCCTCCCGGAGACCAGCAACGTTTGCCAGGCAGGAGCAACCTGGGAGGCTGGAGGTGCTGGGGCCAGCAGGCACCTCCTAACCATAGCCTGGCCTCTGCTCTGCTCACCAGCTCTACCTACCCCCTCCTTCCCACCTGCACAGGGACAAGGGCAGCCAAAAAGGGAACGAGGTTTTGGGGGGCCTGTTGGTAATTCACCTTCTGTCCTCAGAGCTTTCTGGCTTTTAATGTCTTTGAGCAACTGTTCTGCCCTGCCCAGGGTCAGTGCCAGGAGCCAACAGCACTCCAGGTCACAGTGGGCACCCACAGGATGACCCCACACCCTGGAAAAGCTGCCCAGGGAGGCTGCTGAGCACAGGGCAGAGCTCCAAACCCTGCCCAGCAGAGGGGCCAGGCTGGAGGGCTGCCAGGCACTCCAACCCAGCCAGAACGAGTCCTGCATGTAAATGATCTGCTCGCTGTGTCCCACAGGGAAGGACAGTGCCCACCCCGGAGCCAGGATGGGGTTCCTTGGCTGCACCCCAGCACGAGGAAGGAGTGACCAAGTGTCACAGTCTGAGGGGGCTGAATGACTCTCCATGTCCCTCCTTGTCCAGGTTTCACTCCACGTGAGCACCCCTGGCATCCCGTGCACGTGGATGTCCCTCCCAGCCTCTGCCTCACCCCGGGGGGATGTCAGGGACAAACTGCTGGACTGCAGGGACAAACTGCACTGCACTCCAGGCCCTGGCTGCTGGGGTTCAGGGAGAGCCCCCTCAGCCCCCTCCGCCCCTGTGCTTACTTGAGATCTGCCCCGGCGATGAAGCAGCCCGGCTTGGAGGAGATGAGCACGGCGCTCCTCACGGCCTCGTTGGCCCAGATCTCGTTCATGACCTCCGTGAACTCGGCGCTCAGCTGCTTGGACAGGGTGTTCACCTGGGGGGAGCAAAGCACCCTGAGCAGGGAGCTCAGAGAGGTGAGGAGCAAAGCACCCTGAGCAGGGAGCTCAGACGGGTGAGGAGCAAAGCACCCTGAGCAGGGAGCTCAGACGGGTGAGGAGCAAAGCACCCTGAGCAGGGAGC